ACCAAGTTTAGATTCATTTGGCCCTTCAGCAAGCATTCCTCCAAGAATAAGCAGTACAGAAGGAACCATTGCACCTGCCAAAATTTCTAAACTGTCCSTGATGAAAGAAAGTGGAGCATCATACCCAAAGACAAATGCCWTGATTTGTGGTACCATCCCAACAATAATTGCTAATAGAGAAGCAATGGTTGGGGGTTGAAGTATGTGCTGTATTGGAGTTTGCTCAGCAACARTTCTAATCCTCCGGACAACCTTCGGTTCCGCCAAACACCTAATAGACTCGGGATTGCTGGAACCTACCTCCTCCGTGAGATCAATGTCAGGGAAAGTAGACTGTGACAAACTTGATATGCTGTTAAAAACCCTTGCAATGAAAGGCGCCTTGGAATGTTCTGTTTCTTTATCCTCAATACCTGGCCATTCAGCTTCAACAAGGAGAGGCCTACCGATGTTATTAAATGGTGGCAGTTCCTGAATCTCAGCCTCCTCCTCAACGATCTCACAATATTCCAGTGGAGGCTCCATCATATGGTAGACAAATGTATAAACAAGAATTACAGCAACCCAACAATGGCAGGTGGGAGGTTCCCAGTGTTTCCAAATGCAGTCATGATATAGTGAACTAAAAGAACTGAGGTGGTGGTCGGCATATAATTGCCACAAAGTACCCCAATATGCAACTTGATGTGGCGCAATCCGGCTGCTCCCTGCTGGAGATGATCTAGCTACCGACAACGACGGGCTCGAAGAACCTGCAAGAGATGAACCAGAGAACCCAGGGTTGTTTACCCGGCGGGGTCGCTCCGATGCTTAAGTTAGCACTTAGTTGTGAGCTGAAAATGATATCACATTGTGAGAGAGCTAGAGAGCAGAGATTACGCCTCATTTGCCCCTGGGGGGTGAGGTCTTTATATACTGGAGTCCTCGCGGGTTTGGTGGAGTAGTTCCTGGATCCCCGCTGTGACAGGACCTGTTTCCGTGTTAGTTGGGCATAATGCCACCAACCAGTAAGGTTTCCCATCTTCGCCTGAATCAGGGAGTGGGTGAGATAATACTAGCCGTTACAAGGCATGATCCCATAAGACGCGGGGTACGATGGTGAGATCCTTGGAATTACCATTTGGTGGTCGGTCTGACTAGGAAGCGAGCTACCTGTGAGGTGTCGAGCTGCTTGGTGGCGAGCTACCTATGAAGTGTCGGGCTGCTTGGTGGCAAGCTGCTTGTGAGGTGTCGGGCTGCTTGGTGGCGAGCTGCCTAGTGGCAAGCTACCTGTGAGGTGTCGGGCTGCTTGGTGGCGAGCTGCCTAGTGGCGAGCTACCTGGTGGCGAGCTGCCTGTGAAGTGTCGGGTTGCTTGGTGGCGAGCTGCCTAGTTGTCATGAGGTGCCCTCATCATTTGCGCCCCACTCCTGAGCTGAAAGTAACTCGGCAAAGGGAGTAGATTTCTCCTTTTGGCCCGAAATTCGATGAGCTCGTAAGCGCTGATTCAATTCCATAGGCTCTGGGAGCGACTCGTGGTCCATTCCTTGATTTTGCCCATGCCGAAGAGGCGACTGAGTCTTATGTGGTGTCGAGGTCTCCGCCAGTTCGGTACTTTAGCCCTTCGGCGCTGGGAGCGACTTGTAGTTCACTCTCCTTGATCTTGCCCATGCCTCAGAAGCGGCTAGGTCTTATGTGGTATTTTAGCCCGTAGGCTCTGGGAGCGACTCGTAGTCCACT